GGAATAGTATGAATAGGCAGATTTCTTATTTTTTAAAGTGCAGGCTTATAATACACTATTTAAGATCGCACATCAATGGAAGCATATTATTTAAATAAGTAATCATTGAAGTAACAGTGTAATTATAAACAACTTATAAATGAATGATGGAGTAGAAATGGGCTATCAATGTAAATGGGTTTATATTAGGGAGTCAGTAGGTGATATTAAGAAAAGACAGGATTAAAAATGCTGTGCTAAGTTACACTTAGAATCACCAGTAGGAAAAGATAGACTATAAGGATTCTTGTTAAAATATATATATGTATACATAATATGTAATATAATGTAATATTATACCATATTACATTATATATAATATGTTACATTATATAGTATAGTATGGTATGTACTATGTATATAACATAGTATATTGTATATTATATATAATTAATTTGTAATATAATATACTATATTACATTATATTACATATATGTACACACTGAACAGATAGAAAAGGAAATGTAAAAATATGTTAATATATATATTTAAATACGATAATACAAAAATTAAGGTGAGATAATTAAGACCATAACTGTTACATCAGCATGTGTAAAGGGTTCATCTTACCAATTAAGAAAAAAGACACCCAGGTTGGATCACAAAGAAAAATTCAGTCATATCTGTATAGAAGAATATATCAGAAAACAAGGAGACTCTGAAAATTCACAGTAAAAAATATATATAGACAAAGATATATGAAGAAAATTCAAAGAAAAAGAAGGTAAATTTTGAAATAGTCAGCAGCTGAGACCAAAAATAAACAAAACACTAAATGAGATCATTGAAAATGTTTATAATCTAAAATAAAGATTCAACAATAACAATATTCATAATGTAAAATCACAAAAGTAAAATAAACACTCACATAATCTTAACAACACTATCAAGCACAATGAACTAATTAAAATTTACAGAACAGTAGACACAAAATTATTTTCGACTTCATACAGTATATTCACAAAGATATACTATAGTTCAGTCAATAAAACAAGTCTCATATTTACAAAGAATTCAAACAAAAATATATTCTTTAAATTAAAATTAAATAATATTAAAGTATCTAGAAAAACTCAAAATACTGAGAAATTTGCTAATACACTTCTAAAATATTCATGGGTCAAAGTAGAAATAATAAGAAACAATAGAAATATATATATATATATATATATATATATATATATATAAATGCTCACCTGAGTATATGCTTTTATTGATTTTAGAGAGAGAGAAAGAGAAACATCAATGTGAAAGAGAAACATCAACTGGTTGCCTCTGTACACACCTCAACAGGGGACTGAGACTTCACCCTAAGTCTGTACCCTGTCTGGAATCAAACTCGCAGCTTTCTGGTGTATGGGACAATGCTCCAACCAACTCAGCCACATGGCCTGGGTAAAAACATTTTTAACCAAATGATACTACAAGCAAAACACATCAAAATCTGTGAGATGCAGCAAAGTGGTGCTCAGAAGAAAATATATAGCTTTCAATGATCTTATTAGAACTGTAGAAAGGCCTAAAACCAATGCCTTTGGCTTCCAAATTAAGAAGTTACCAAAAAAAAAAAAAAAAGGCAAAGTAAATCAAAAGTAAAAAGAAAAAAGGAAATGAAGAACAGAATTGAAGAAATCAACTCAATAAAATTGAGACAATTGTGAAAATTACCAAAGTGAAAAGCATGTTTTGTTAAAATTAACTGGGATGGGAGAAATAGACAAAAAAACTGTACTTGAAAAATAACTAAATAAAATTTTTTAAAAAATAACAAAATTGGTAAGTTAATCAACAGAAAAAAAGAGAGAGAGAATGCAGATCACCAATATCAGGAAAGAAAATAATTCCATTTAATGTCTTAGAGACACTAAAGGGATAATAGAATATTAACAGCTTTGTTTTCAAATATAACAACTTAAATAAACTTAAATTCCTTGACAAATACAATTAACCAAAATTAACATGAAATCAAAGAGAAAAATAAGCAACCAATATCTATTTTTAAAAATATATAACCATCATCAAAAACTATTCCACAAAAAATCTCAGGCCCAGAAGATTTTTCTTGTAAATTATATTGAAAATTCAAAAAATTTACCACTCATATAGAAAATATTTTAGAAAATAAAAAGAGAAGAAAACACTTTCCAACCTGTTTTATGAAGCTGGCATAACTCAAATACCAAAACCTGGCCAAGACATAACAAAAGAATGAAAATAATAGACTAATACCCCTATAAACACAGACACAAAACTCCACAGTGAAATGTTGGCAAAACGAAGCCATAAATGTACAAAAGTGATAATACTCCATGACTAAGTGTGTTAATCTAAGGAAGGCAAGGCTGATTTAATATTTGAAAATTCTAATAAAAGTAGGATTTTTAAAAATTAGTCAAGCTGCTGGAAAAGTAAATATGTATAAACAAACATAAATTCTTTAAAAAGAAAGTAAGAGGGGAGTAACTCAGTTATTAAAACATAAATCAATGTTATAATAACTAAAGGCATAGTGTACTTCAATAAATGGGTAAAGGGGGAAATGAAGAGTACAGAAGTAGACAGAAATATACATGGTACAGTATATATTATAAAGGGAAAATGGTGGAGTATTGAATAAATAGTGTTGATAAATCTAGCCTGCCATTTGGATAAAAGAAAGGCTGGCTGCATACGTTTACTTAAGGTAAACTCTAAATGAAAAGTAAATTTAACTATTTAAAAAAATAAAATTAAGCTTAAAATGAAATATTCTTAACTACTAAAAAGACTGAGGTTGATCTATATGTGATTATATAATAAACTTTCCAAGTTATATTACTAGGTAACATCGCTTAAGGCAGAACAGTTTATGACAAGTATACTTATTGGGTGAAATAATTTGTGATAATTTGTGTGTATACAATACTTACAAATGTATACAAACACACATATATCCATACAAAGACATTTTAATTCTTATATATTTATAGACTATTTCTTTAAAAAAAAAAAAAAACCCTGAAACTGCTATCACCTATAATCCAAAGATAATTCTGGAGAACTAAAAATCTGGAGTCAGAGAAATATTTTCTGAAGATAAACATTTTCTCTGATGCTTAAATATATGCTTACAATGTGCATATATTTTTGGAAAATTCTATCAGTTTAATAAGTTAGTGAACTAAATTAATTGCTTACTTATTGCATCCATTTGAAAAGTAAATAAAAAACAGGTCCTTGATGAACTCACATGACTCCACTCCAGGAAGACAGAAAAAAAAATTTTTTAATGGGCAAAAGGCTTGAACAGACACTTCTCCAAGGAAGACATACAGAAGGCCCAGAGACATATGAAAAGATGCTCAGCATCACTAGCCATCAGAGAGATGCAAATTAAAACCACAGTGAGATACCACTTCACACCGGTCAGAATCGCCACCATAAACAAGTCAACAAACAAATGTTGGAGAGGATGCAGAGAAAAGGAAACCCTAGTGCATTGTTGGTGGGAATAATGCAGATGGGCGCTGCCACTGTGGAAAACAGTATGGAGTTTCCTCAGAAAACTAAAAATGGAACTGCCTTTTGACCCAGCAATTCCACTGCTTGGAGTATACCTTAAAAGCCCTGAAACATTGATCCAAAAGAACCTATGCTCCCCAGTGTTCATGGCAGCACAATTTATAATAGCCAAATGTGGAAGTAACCTAAGTGCCCATCAGCAAATGAGTGGATCAAAAAACTGGTACATTTACACAATGGAATTCTATGCAGCAAAGAGAAGGGAGCTCCTACCCTTTACAACAGCATGGATGGAACTGGAGAGCATTGTGCTAAGTGAAATAAGCCAGGTGGTGAGGGAAAAATACCATATGATCTCACCTTTAGCTAGAACCTAATCAAAAGAAAAAAGCAAACAAAATATAACCAGAGACATTGAAATTAAGAACAATCTAACAATAGCCAGAGGGGAGTGAGAAGGGGACAATGGGAGGAAGAGTTTTCAGGAACTACTATAAAGGACACGTGGACAAAACCAAGGGGGGAGGTGAAAGCAAGGGAGGGAGGTGGAATTGGTTGGGGAGGGGGGAAGTGGTGGGGGGAATGCAGACAACTGTAATTGAACAATAATAAAGTAATTTTTTAGAAAATAGTTCTTTGATATGGTACGTTTTTTGTAAGGAAAACCAATAACTTGATCAAGCTCTGCTTTTTTCACTCTTTTAGAACAACTTTTCAGTTCCTATTATGTGCCAGTCCCAATACCAGGTGCTTAAAGAAAAAAAAATTGTAACTGCCCTCAAGGAGCCCACAGTTTAATGGGAAGAGTTCAAATGTAGAGGTCAGAGGAAGACTACTGTCTTTCTGGCTTATTTCTAAAATGCTAGCTCTAAATATCTCTCTCTGAGGCTAAAACAAGATCTTACTCATTTCAGCCATCCTCTGTAGACCTTACCAGGTCTCTTGGTAACTCACAACATCTCTTACTGGAGTTGATGTCTCTTCCACTAAGCTTTCAGAGAAGATCTGAAGAGACTTCTTGTAAGAAGAGCTATTAGTCATCATGGATTTTGTCCACAGGAATTATTTTAATTCCCAAAAGCATTATACATTTTTCTACCTCCATTCCTTTGGTTATGCTCTTCCTTCCACTTGGAATGTTCTTGAACTTTTGCTCTCCTTCTTTGGCTGATTCTCTACCCAAGGAATTGGTTGAGAACCTTTCCTACCATGCTGCCATAGCTCTTTCCAGCTTACATTTAGCCATTTACTTGTCAGGTTTTCATAAAAGAGCAAAAATTTATTCAAATATGTATTCCTAACACAAAGTAAGAACTCAGTGATCGATGAATTCAACTGTACAGCTTCACGGTTCCCTGAGTACTCCCAGCTTACAGAACTGAAATGAACTTTGTAGTTGTTTTTCTTAAATACCCCACCCCCACTGTACCACTCTCCCAAGTCTAAGACATCACACTCACTTGTCCAGGGACATCCCAGGGAAGGCAAACTTGCCCAGGCAGATGCGATAGATAGCACTCAGGGGAATTTGCTGCAACTGCACACAGCTGAGCATGATGAAGTCATATTTGCAGATCAAGAGAGTCTTGTTTGTGACCACCAAAATCCTCTCCTTCTCATTGTTCCAGTGATCTATCCTGTAAGAATCATCACAGAGAAATATAGTTGATGGCATAATTTTTCCAAGTTAAAGATAATGACATTTACTGAAACATCTATAGTAACACAGAAGATGGTGAGGTTTGATCATTCAGTAAAAAGAGGGATTGAGGAATACCATCTCTTCTCTCTCTCAGTCTGACTCTATGACCAAGGTAGAAGAAGGGTGGAAGACCACAGGGAAATGTTTTGTGACCACAGGGAAATGTTTTGTGGCCACAGAACTCAGAGATGATTACTGATAATAGGATCCACTACAGGAAACACTAGTTTGTATTTATCATGTTGGGAGTCAACTGATTCATGCTCCTCTATGTCTTCCCAGTTCTCCGGAAACCTTCATGAAGTGCATCTTCCTTCAAGGACACCAAAACCATCTCTGTGTTCTAACACAATCTGCACCACAGATTTATGGTAACCTCCAAAGATCATATTGCTGACGAGATAAAATGGGGACTTGAACATAGCTCCACTGATCCCCCAAGCCATCTGTATTTTAAGCTCATCTATCCTATCATATCTTTGTGGTAGGAATAAAGTGAAATAAGTGAAGTGTGGTTCTTTTGAGCCAAGGACAAGCTAGACACTAGATAAGTCATTATTGAATTGTTTTGCTTCATACTTGAGAGCCTTCCAGTGCATGCATGGAAAATTCTGAGTGTTCTCTCCAATGGAGAAAACAAGAAGGAATCAAAATCAATGGCTTCTGGTTAAGAGAAACGGAGTATGGTCTTTCATCCCTCTCACCCACAGCACGTTTGCTGTCTGTTTACTATAGACTTCAGTATATAGGACTTCATGACTTTTATTGTTTCAGTACATGCTTTGTCTTCCCTAAGAGACTAACCAGGGTGATTTGTGATTGACTTATATCTGAATCCCCCCTTCACAGAATCAGTCTAATGTAAAGATAGTATGGGCACCCCACTCCCACCCATGCACAGTAACCACAGTGCTATTCTGAAAATACAAAAGGAATAACATCACTCCTTCTTCACCTTATTAAATAGTCCCTTTTTGATCTTAGATCAAAGCCCAGCTACATAATTGAACTACATATCCTTGAATGCTCTGGCCTTTGCCAAGCATCGTCTCATCTCAAGCTGAGAAAACCCATTGTCCAATGGTTCAAATGCCTCATCCAAAGATGGTTTGATAACTCCTATATAAACTTGCCCCCTATTACACTCTCTCAAAGCATCCTGATTATTTCCCTTTATACTACTAATCACCACTTGTAAGAAGGAATTATATGTAAGATATTTAGAAACAGGTACCACGTGGACACTGACAAATCTGAATGGACACCATAGTGCAGAGGGTAGAGCAATGACAGTGAGATGGACTGAGTGCATTTGTATTTCCCATGAGGTCAGAGACTGTGTCTGTTGGGCTGCTCACTCTATGCAGTTCCTATCAAATAGCCTGCATTGAGGAACCTAAGTCACTAAATAATTTCAGGTAACCCAAATATATGTAATTCCTCAGTACAATCTAAAGTATCTGTAGAGTAAGTGAGTGACATTCACAATAATTTTGGAGACCTTTGGGCTGGGTGAGGATAGGGAAGGAAACTTCCAGCTCTATCACCTGTCTTTGGCTCATGTCCTTTATTTGTGAAATGGAGATAAGACTAGTATTCATCTCCTTAGTTTGGGGAGAGGATTAAGAGATCTGATTCTCAATCAGTGTTCTAGAAATGAATGGTTATTATCACTAGGAGGGACCTAAGTCACTAAATAATTTCAGGTAACCCAAATATATGTCATTCCTCAGTACAATCTAAAGAAAAAATGAGGAGTTATATCAATGGGAATAAAAATAAAAAGAGACACAAATGAGAGAAAAAAGGAAGAATGACAAAGAAAGAGCAATAAGCAGAAGAAAGATGAGATGGATGAGATCACTGATGGAGGTCCTATTATATGCTGGCTGTCCTGGATGTGTGTATGACTATTAACTCTACATGTCCCCACAACCCTTTGAAGAAAGTCATATCTAAAGCCACCACTTAATCGGAGCCATTTTTTTGCAAATATCATCTCCATTTCAGTTAATTGCCTCTTTGCTTAATATCCAAAACATATAACGAACCCATAAAACTCAATACCAGGCAAACAATCTAATTAGAAAATGGGCAGAGGACCTGAACAGACACCTCTCCCAAGAAAACATACAACTGGCCAACAGACATATGAAAAGATGACCAACCTCACCAGCTATTAAAAAGATGCAAATCAAAACTACAGTAAGCTACCACATCACAACTGTTAGAATGGCTACTATCAACAAGACAAGTAATAATGAGAGTTGGCAAAGTTGTGGAGAAAAGGGAATCCTCATTCCCTACTGGTGAGAATGTAGACTGGTGCAGCCACTGTGAAAATAGTCTGGCGATTCTTCAAAAAATTAAGAAAAGAGTTACCATACAACTCAGCAATCCTTCTCCTGGGTATCTACACAAAAACTTCAAAAACTTATATTTGCAAAGATATATGCACCCCTATTTTCATTGCAGCATTATTCACAGTGGCTGTGAATAATGGAGGAATAATTCACAGTGGCTCCAAGACATGGAGGCAACAAAAGTGTCCTTCAATAGAGGATTGGATAAAGATGTGGTCCATGTATACAATGTATTACTACTCAGCTATGAGAAAAGACAAAATACTGCCATTTGAGACAACATGGATGGACTTTGAGAATATCAGGCTAAGTGAAATGTTAGTCATAAAAAGCTAAATACCATATAATTTTACTTATATGTGGAATGTAAAATCAAAACTTGTGGACACAGACAGAAATGTGGTGGTTGCCAGAGAGAAAGAGGTGGGAGTGGTGGTGGAATGTGCCTAATATGTGGTGAGGGAAGATGGTTTGACTTTAGGTGGTGGACACACAGTGCAAAATACAGATCTAGTGTCATAGAAGTGTACCCCCGAAATCTATATGATCCTATTAACCAATGTCACCCCAATAAATTTATTAAAAATTATTTTAAAAAATAAAATCACCACTTAGCTAGAATATATTAGTAGATTAAGTGGTACAGAGTCTGAGAGTTTGGTTTAAATCTTGGTTGAAAATTTCCATCTACTTCAACAACACTGCAATACTTCACTGAGTGAAGGAGAGAATTCTTAATGATCTGCTTAACACTCTCAGTCTTAGTCAGAAAGAAGAGACTCTGAAATTTCTTACCAAATATCTACATAAGTTTCTCTAAATAGATTGCATCTACTTAGCAGCAAGTTATAAGCTGCTGCCTAATAAACCAGACTTGTTTTTAGCCTAAAAACCACAGCTTTTGGCTGACTGGTTTTATTGAAAATGTCAGCACTCCATAATGAGATTTATTTTAAAAGGTAAAGGATTGGGAGCAGGGGGAGAATTCTTTTTAGGAACACAGAGTGCTCTGCTTCGACACAGACTCTGCATAATTTACATTTCTGGAAATTCTGAATTCAAGTAAACATTCAGGCTTATAAATAGTTTGGGGCCACCATCTCTCACTCCTAGGTGGTGTGCTTATTTATTTAGATTTCAATCACACCATTTTTCCCCAAAGAACTCATGAAGAAAACATTAAATTTCATATTCCTAATATGAATATAATTGAAGTGTGGTTGGTGATAATATCCAGAGCAAATATTATAGAAATAACATTAATGTATTGTGTTTGTACAGCTTGTGAAGATTTACAAAGTCCTTGGTTATCAATGTTCTCATTGAACTCTCACAACAGCCCTCTGGACTAGATGGTATTGCCCTCATTTTAAAGACAATGAAACTAAGGTCCAGATACCCTTAAAATGACTCGCCCAATATTTTATACCTAGCAAGCAGGAATGCAGTAACCTTAAATAAGTATTGAGATATCAAATTTAGCCATAGTGTTGGCTTTCTCCCCAGTGTTACCTGCCTCTCAATAGAGGACCCTTCAGTATGATGTAAAAATGTGGCAAAATCCACCTCTGGAAGGAGCTAGTGTGATGATATGTGTCAATCCTAGAACTGTTCTCTCCAGGAGACTTCTCCCCAGGAATTGCCCTTTCCAAACCTCGTCTTCATCCAACGTTTTCTGTCTTGGGGAAGAACCTTCCTTCCGTGCAGTTATGCAAGTTAGAGACACGGGGTCACTCTGGATTCATCCCATTTCCTCATTTCACACGCCAAGTGACAGACATTTTCCTCCCAAAATATCTGTCTAAACCACACACTCCTCTCCTCTACCTTCGGCATCCTGATCCCATCTCCCCTCATCTCCTGCCTGGACTATTGCAGTCACCCTCTCTCTAGACTTGGGCTACCAGTCTTCCAGACCCAGTTCACCTGCACCTGCTCTTGCTCCCCTCCGAACTTTTCACAGTACTGCAATGAGGTGGGCCTTTTGAAAGACCGAATTTGCTCTTTACCTCCCCCACTCTGGCTTCGACACTTAAACAGCTGCACAAACACACTGCAACTGTTCCCCAGCATTCTTATGAAAAATGACAAAAATTCTTTCCCTGGTCTAAGAGCATTTGCAGTTAGGCTCCTACCTACTTCTACAACCTTATTACAGGCCAAGTCCCTTCAATTCATTCTCCTTGATTTTCTTTCAGTTACTTGTACTCACCATGCCCACTCCTGCTAATGGGCCTTTGAACGTGCTGTTCCCTCTGTTAGCAATGTTTCTTCTCATCGTCGATACTTAGTTAACAGTGGTGAATTCAATGATCACTTACTCCAGCATGTGTTCCCAGACCTCTGTGACTACTTCTCTTCTGATACACACTTTCAAGGCACCTCGCATTTCTCCTTCGTGGTATTGTACTTATCCCAGATGCAGTTTTACAGCTATTTCCATGATTTTCTAAGTAATGCCCATCTCTTCTTCTATACTGGAAACTCCACAAAGACAGTCAGTTCTTAGCATTCTGTCCGCAAGGTTGTAGGGGTCCAAAATATTTCTTAAATGAATGAATAAAGATTGAAC